CTTTTCCGAGTAAAATCGATGATCAGAATCGATAAGGCTATCCACTTTCATGGCTGCAGCGGTCGAATGAGTCCCTGTGTTCCCCGACAGTGAACGGACACGTATGTCAAGACAATGCGAGACAAATTGAAACATGTTTCCCGTGCTTTTGTTGTGGACACCCCCGATCCATCTCAGCAGCTCAGCACAAGGAGAGCGAGTTACTGCCGTCTTCAATCCACACCGTGCCTAGCATAGCTGACATGGAGCATGGATGACTTGTCAGCTCATTTTTATGAATGAAACATGGCTCACACCGACTGCAGTCTTACAACTCCATGTCAAGGAAACGATGGCGGAATTTCTTCTCCGTATTCTTCTCCACCCACGTTTCAGGTGCGCCCACGTTTTAACTCCTTTAGGTACCAAGATGTAAATATCTTGTAACGCGTTTCACACACGACGCACTCGAGACGAATGAGAAATGCTTGCAATATTTTAGTCAGAATACGTGAAGGGAAGACGCCATGTGATAAAACTGGATTAAACTGGCTCAGTTTTGGATTCAGTGGTAGACTGTTGTGGACAGAATTACTCTTTGTGCTTCCATAGAAGGCGGGAAATTCATAATGTACGAGTATCACATGCTATGTTTTGTGGAGTATCATAGCTTGTGTGACTATGGGATTTTTTATGTAATTTAAACACAAATTTCTTCATGGATAGCAAGATAAAGAAGCAAAAATAATATTTGTGGGGGAGAAATGAGAGACACTTTATTTTGGGGGGGAGGGGAAGAGCATCTTGTATTTAGAAAGTTCCCAGGCAATGCCCGCTCGTCCTTATCATAAGAATAAAGTAGGAGTGAAGACGTTAGAGTGATAATTAGTGAGAGCCTGATAATAGAAGCTGCGAAATATTGATTTGCTTGTTAGTGAATATTAAAGCTATAGTTTGGAAAGTTCAGTAATTTAGTAGCCTTGACAGTATGGGCTAAATTTTGTTTAATTGAAGCTCGTCTAAATATTATTTAAGAATTCAGTCTGTACCGCAAAGAAAACACCACACTTTACTGTAACTAAGATCAATTGATTAACGCTGTTTAAGGAAATAATTGCTGTTTACAGTGAGAATCACTATACAAAATGCAGAGACACTTACTGTTAAAGCAGATGGTATTGTACATATAATTACTACTGAGCTGTGAAGTGTTAATTAAATAGGCTTATCTCCATACATAATAGTCTAGTTCAATATCAATAAAAGTTGATTTGTTATAATCAGATGTTACTAGCCCGTATAAAGCCTTACAATACGAACGATTGTCAACATTTTTAATTAAAATGTGAATAGTTCTCATCTTATCAGTATCTAGGATGCCATGTTCACTAACATTTAAGTACCGTACAACAGAATTATGTTAAAACTCCGGGCTATAAAATCAAAGCCTCAACAGCTGTTAAAACGATTCCAGCAAGAGCATTCTCAGGAGGGTTATCTTACGTGTCACTCGTTATCCTAACATTTAAAACTCCACAGAACTTATTTCAAGTGTATAAGAACCCGAGCATGGTTTAATATCCGGTCGCAGTTACGTGTCACATGGGCAGTTACTCTACAGTACAAACACAGTCAGTTTTGTTTCGTCTAAATCTCATCCCGATTGTTTATGTGCAATTTAACAAGTCCAGTGGTTGCTTTTTCGAAAACACACCCTCTTTAAACGATTAGCAAACGTGAAATAATTTTGCATATTACAACGAGAAATCGATTTTAGAAGTCGCATATGTTAGGTTAGGAAACTAACTTTATGATGCAGAATCCCTGAGAAGCTCTCAAGTCAATCAATTCCCCGCCTCTTATATAACCAGAAAGGTCTACACCCCAGACCTTATTTGCCTAAGATCCTCCCATCTGCGTCTAGGTCTTCCGCGTTGTCTCTTTCCTTAAGGTTTTCAAAACCAAAAATTTGTACGTATTCTCATCTTCTTTGATTTGATCACCTTAATGAGGCGTGTAGAAAATAAGGTTATTAAAATAAATACACACAGAAAGTTTGGGCTGTTCCACTTAACAGACTGAGTAGGAGGTGGGAGAATAATATTAAGATTTAGCTTTGGGGACAGAGGTGTGCTGAATGGCTTTCTTTTGTAGCGGCGTTGATAATTCCGTCTTCTGGTACTGTCTCTAGTTTTAGGAAGGGTAGTTGACATAGGCTGTGTCAAATGAAATGAAGGATGAGTTCAACGTGGGTCTTTGTAGTGAGAGTAATGGGCCATTGGGTCTCAAACAGATTTCTTGAGCATTTTGTCTTTAAATATCGACTTTTATAAGAGAAAACCCTATACCAGGGAAAGTTGGTAAATAACTGATTAATTGAAAGGCAATGCGAGACACTGACCAAGGTTAAGAACTATTACCGAGCTGTAAATTTGAATCAATCTGTTCCCAGTATCAGTGAGTGTTTTGGGGTAGTATTTTTTCACGTTTTATGACTAGAGTGTCGTTTAATCTGCTGTGGTAGGATTGCTGCATAAAACCCCTTCACAGTAGCGAGCCAGAAATTATATACAGGAAGACGAGAACACAAACGTTTGAAGCTGAAACAAATTACCATAAATGAATGTCGTATTTAAGAACGTACAGAAACGGAGGGAGGAAGTTACTTTGAAGCAGTCCGCCAGCTGATTGGATGCCTCGTTAGTAGGTTACTTATTTAGTACGTTAATAAACCAGCCACTTGAGTGGTTAATTAGTCGGTTAATCATTCGGTTTGTGATTATTGGGGTATTAAACGACGTTTATCCTACAGCGTAAGTCATGTAGCATCGATGGCAGTGACTGACGAATCGGAAAGGAATTGGAAGGAAACGATCGTGACCTATTTGAAGATACTGAGCACTTCATTGAGGGTCTGAGGAAAACCATCAAAATCCTTTGGCATGATTGTCGGTAACCGGGCCAAGATTCGAAACCTGGACCTTCTCACTACGAAGCAGGCGTGCTAACCACACGACCTCCAAGTTGGGCCAGGCAATATAATAATACGTAAGTCATGTGAGTGTTTTCCTGATATGATTTCGGTAATTATTAGCACTTTTTAACAATAAAATCACGTGGTCAGACGTTTGATTTTATATGTGTCGCACTGTACACACATCGTTTCAAGATCAGTACAAGAAGTGCGTTCCATACACCTGTATAAGATTTCTGTTACTAGCTTTCCGACATATAACACACGTGTTTATTGGTGTAATGGATACTGAAGCCAACATTTCGGGTACAGTTTCCGTCCACTCCATACTAACACACACTTACGGCCCTGTCCGTGACATGAAACCTCGCACAAGGCAACAAAAGGTGACAGGGTAAATGAAAAACTTGTTACATCGTAGTAGACCTACATACCATAAAAATGTTAACTTTATCAGAGATTCATATAATTATTTGTTCAACCCCTCCTAGCTTTCTATCTAGAGATAAGTTGTAATCTAATCTTTTGGCGTCTTGTATCAATTTCTTTGTCTCAAACCGTACAGCGATAATTATTATAAAAGTCGTGCTTACAATGTGGCCCATAATGTTTCTAAATAAAGATGACTGTCTTATGGAATACTGCGTCGTGTGGTCTGGAAGAAGTTCATGGTTTCTTCAGAGACGAACACCGTAGAGCATCCCAGAAGACACAATCTTTGCCCTAAGAACCTGAAATATCGACCTTCTTCATAAAGCATTTGAAATAAGCCAGACACAGGGCGTTAATAATAATTTCCTCACAGTTGTTGAGGGATAAGAAAAACAGATTATAAACGTACTATAACTAGGATAACTTATCAATATAGTAATACAAACTATCTAAAGAAATGTTGTCAACATTTGAAACAAATTCCTGAAAACTGGATCTCGCAGTTTCTCTACCAATATAAACCTAGATCATGACCGGATTTGCAGTTGTGGGGGTCCCGAAACAATCAAAATGTGGCCCCTATCAGTAACAAGAAATTTAGGTTATATTGTAATTACTTATAAATAAGTATCATGTGATGGGTTTCGTGCGATGATTACCTGGACGCTTTTCCCCGTAAAAAATGGATTTTATGGAGGCCCCTGTTTTTGTGGAGGCCTCCGGGCGACCACCCCCGTCGCTCCCCCCTAAATCCAGCCCTGAACCGAAAGATAGAAGTGCAGTGCCCCACTTATAATATAAACTCTGATATTGTCGTAGTTCAGGTATTTTGACTCATGAATATAATTGTCATTCACAGAACATATGTCATATTCAACATTTTCGATGTCCCAAAATGCGAAAAGAAGTCGCTTTCATTGATCCTGGCGTTGTGCGATCCTATCAGTGAAAAAGTGCCCGGCTGTGAGGAAGTTTGATGGTGTGGGGAGCTATGAGGCGAAGAGGTGGTCTTCAGAGAGGACCCTACCCCTGTTAGAGGAATCTATCAGATAAAATGCATCGTTAGCCAGCTCCAACCAGCCACGCTTTGTTAGCTAATTTATTGTGACTAACGCTCGCCACAAGCACATGGCTGGTTCGTGCTGACTAGCGATGCATTTTATCTGAACGGTTTCACTGTGTTCCAGTATGGAGTACCACTGAACCGCGTTTTTCATAATATTATTCGGGCTAACACGTCTAATACCCCTTCCTGATATTCAGTATCACTTTACGTTATTATTCTACTCGTGCAATATAGTGTATTTTATTATAAAAGGCGCTGTTAAATATTAATTAAAAAATAAATCTTTCGTCACCAAAGTTCTGAGAAAGAATCAGTAAAACAGAAGATTTTGGCATATTCTTACAAATTTACAGGATTCTGCTTGAGTAGTCCCTTAAACGTCCTTTGTAAAGAAGCCAGTCCGTGATAAATATCATTGGTGCTGGATTCCACTTTATCCAGTTTGTTCACGTTGGCCGCTGAAATTCCTTCGACCGACCTGCCAGCCGGCAAAGTATTTGAGTTGTAGTTAGCATCCCCGCCTGACTGACACTTTGTTTCTCTTTACAGAGATCCTTCACGCTCATCCTCCAGGCTGTGGACCATGACAACTACTCCGTACCGGGTAAGTTAATTTCTCCTCATGCGTTCACCTCAACGAGGAGACGCGCTATTCACTTGTTTAAGCCTTCATTAGCACGCACAATAAGACCGTGTCTCTTCGTCTTGCATGGAGTAACTGGGATTGTTCATAACAGTTACGAGATTTCTATTGGAAACTTCCGTTGTTTCTTCTGCAAAATAATTGTTACGGGAGACTTACTGTTTTGAACGGTAATTCTGCTAGTTACTAGAATGAGCTTTGTAAAAATTTTCACGCTATTCTCAATATGGTTTATATGAGCGTAAAACTTGATCTATCATCCTGAGGAAAGAGCATAAAGTGAGGATATTTTTAAACGAAGTTCCAATCATTGTATTTTAAAGTAAGAACAAGGAACTAACAGGAAAATGTAGACAGTTAACATAATGTCGAGCTTCATAATTTTGTATTTTTCACGAAATAATATCAAGGCGACCAAATAAGGGAAACGAGATGGGCCTATTTGGAACACGCAGGTCGGGGATGAAGAAGCGAGAGATATTTACAGAATTTTTGTGGAAATTCTCGAAGACAAGGGCCACTTCGGCGACTCAAGCTTAGAGATGAAGAATAATAATATTAAAATTAATATAAAAGAAATAGGGTATGATGGAATTTCTGTATTTATCTGGCCCTCATAGTGTTCAGTGTCTTGCTATTGTGATCACGATAATGAATTGTCTGTTAAAATAAAAAGCGTGAAATTTCTAGACCAGCCGAGAAACTATTAACTTCTCAAGAAGGTCTCTGCTTCATGGACTTTGTTATTCTCACTCAGTTTTAGAGAATCAGCTGTTTCAAGGATGTCTTATATGCACGAGCTTTGTCTCATGACTGCATAAACAAAAACAAAAGAAAGAAGTGCTATAAAAACTCAGCTCTAAGTTCTGCAGGCTGCTCTACTTGAAAGTAAATTACTGTTTTAATTTCTAGTGCTGAACTCTTATTTGTTTCAGTTAATCAACATAAAATAGTAAACATTTTTCTTCGGTAGATTTAATTACTTGTTTAGGTTAATATCCTATGTCAATATTTCATATACTTTCTCTCTTTGCAATTTATGTTTTAATTCAGTTTTATTTCCAGTGTGCAACCACATTAGTCTCAAATTTCGTTTTAAACTTTTCTCAGTTTTAATATTTTCCGCATTTTAATCGCTCTTCCAAATTTCTTTGTAGTATTAATTATCGTATTATAATATAGCAGAGTTTATTTAGTTCGCTTTGTGGCATTTATGTTGTTTTCTACAATAAGCCTACAACTGTCTTATTTACGTTTTAGATTAAAAATATTGTAAATATGGGCTACACAAAATACGTATTAAATCTGGAATATTTTTTAACATACAAAGAAATATTATGTTAAGCTTGCTGATATATCATCCTATAACCCTAGAAATCTCAGCATGCCTGATGATTTATCTATTCACGTTGACTTGGCATGCTGCAGTAAAAATTATGACATCTTTCTGCTAAACATTTGGAATAAATGTTACATTAAAACTTTAACAATCCTTGAGAAACTGGTAGTACACTAAACTAACCGGTAAATTACTAGAAAATTATAGGGCTAATTAAACAAGTTAGAGGGTTATGTCTGTGAATATTTTATACCAGCATACATTCCAACTACATTGCAATTCCCGACATAATTCCAAAGTTTCGCATCATCACCATGTTCCTAGTTGATAAAACGTTCCATAGAGAATTTGTAGATACGTTCATTATCTGTCTTCATACCAAATTTTACAAGCCTACCCTCAACATTGTTAGTTATCCCCATCAAACCGAAAATACGTCCGCCATGTTGTTCTACAACAAATTTATCTCAACAAAAATCACGTGCTTCTGGAAGATCCTAGTTCGACACACAATTTCATGATCCTAGGCTGGTACGCTAGTAGTGGAGATTCGGTCACTTTTGCCTGAGAATTTTCACAGCCAACGTGCTAATATTATAGACGAGAAGAAAATAAAAAAGCAAAATGTAGGCGTGGCCTCAAGTTACATGATATTCATACAAAATTTCATAAAATTCCTACAATTTTAAATTAAGCCATACACGAAAATTACACCATGACATTATCTGTTCTTACCAACACAAAGTCGGTTTATGCTTCAAATGAACGGCACTTCATATGTAGCTTCATAGAGTCCTCAAGTCTGCCGAAATAAGCAACCTCATTTGTGGGTAATCATTACTTGTTTGAACATGTTATCATGACGCAGAAAGGCTATGCAGATAATGTTATGATTCAAACCTCATTGCTGACTGAAAAGGCATCGTAAATATATACTGAATTAATACAGAACATTGTTAACTCGTTGGCTGAATTAAAATAATGACGATGAAAATGTATATTTCGACAACAAGATCATAATATTTTCTGAACCACAGTAATCAGAAAATTTCTGGATCTTTTATGGTGTCCCGTTGGACCAAATTTAGCTACTTAACTACAAACAGTGTAATCTAACGATCAGAATTAAGGTTAAAATAATCGTCACAATCTTGTACAACGTCCGGTTACAAATTCTGTGTCCTCATTAATTCCGAATGGCACATTTTAATGATTCAAATTGTTCAACAGAAGGTAAAAGATAATAGCGCTTAACAATTGGAGGGGTGGAATGCCGCGTTAGCCAAACGGACCTTCAATTTAGTTGTTGAAATAATCCACTAAATAATATCTAGTTATAGTCGTTCTGCGGATTCGTGGTAAATCTCGAAAAGTTGTCGAAACTTCATTATTGTAGAAGGTGGTTTGCCGTGTGTCTACAGACAATGGAACCCTATTCTAGAAGGCGGAAAGCGTAATTTTCTGAGATGACTATGTGCAATATGACAACAGCTTGTTATTCTTCGAAGCCCTTATTGACTGTTGGTTGTATTCAGTGGTTCACAACGTTTTAGTTGATTCATGTGAAATAATTTGAGGTGTTTTATTGTTCTTCTTTCAAGTGGTACACCGCTATCTGCAGAGTATGGTATGTCCCTCGTTAAGGAAGTCTGCTGTACTCCACTGCAGTTCACGTTTTTAAGATTATAACACTTCATTCAGACGTGCCCAGAAAGTCCTCGTTGCAAAGAATATTTACTAAATATTAATTCCAATTCCACATTCTTTCCTGAACGCTGAGGGTTCATCACCGCACCACGAACGTCCGCCTTTTGAATTCATTTTCTTCCAAAAGAATTCGCTTCACGTACGAAGCCAATTTCCCCAACAGAGACCTATATTTTTGCAGTGCATCCATGCCAACTAATACATAAATATAACTAAAAAATTACGAAATACTTTCAGGCATAAAATGGAGAAAAGAATTTTAAAAAAATATTACAAATTAAAAGGGGAGACGTGTGATTTAAATTTTACCCTAGGAATTCTTTCTGAAGTTGGGGACGAAAGAATTTTATAGTCTGCCTGAAATTTTCCTCTTTGTATGAAACGTCTCTGAATTGTATGTCCCAATGTGGTCTCTCTCGTTGTGACTAACGCAGATGTGGAGCAGACCTACTTCTAGGGACAGAAACAAATAAACAAGGCTTGGGAAATGAAAAAATGTGACCATATCACAGAATTTGCTTTTGGGTTCGTAAGGGAGGACTTATCTTTCTTCGCTTTTTCACATTGTTTCCTTGCTTTTCTTACCCATGGCCAGTATTCATGGCCGCCGAAGGCAAGGACGTCTGCTTTCACAGCGGGCTGCGTGCAGACTACTGGGCTCACATTCAATTCATCAGCATCGTTCCCATAATGGCTTAGCACACATGTATACAGTCGGAGTTGGTCCGATACATAAATATATTTCTTCCATGGACTTGCCGAATCTCTCTTAATGTATTCGTTTTAATTCGTAACTGTCTCTGCGAGTAAAGATTGCTGTCTTCTGGGTTGTTGCACCGTGTAATCTGGTAGAAGTTTATCAACGTTTCAGAAGTCCTTTCTGCCTCCATCATCAGGGCGACCAAAAATTCTACATGTCTCTGCGTGTATTTATATTTTTTATATAAGCTAATATTTTACTAAGCCTGTAAAGCCAAAAAATATTACTTCAATAAAAGACATAGCTTGGTTCTTGCTAATTTTTCAAACTTTCACGTGGTCTCTGAAAAAAAAAGATCAGATTAACGGACAGATATAAAATTTCCAGTGTGGGAATATTTTAGAAATATTTCAATTTGTATTAGTATTCGTCAGGATGTTACACCCACGTACTACGGATGGATCTGGTGTGGATTCTCAACAATTGACAGGACACCCTAAACAAACCTGTTCGTGTGAGCTACTGAACAGATCCAGATAAGTGGCATTGCTTCTAGGCACCATGCAGGTTGTCTAATTAGTGACTTGTCTGACTGGTTCAGGTTAAACCTATGGTATTTATCATTTATCCTGATCACTTTGTAATGAGATGCATGTGTCGGGGCAGGGGACAGTGTTATAATGGACTAACTGGTACAAAGTCTAGCTAGAATGTGGAACTGAAACATTTACACAGAAAACTGCTGCGACAACCATGACAGTAAAGCATATCGTTATATAACTCTTAACACTAAAACTAAGCAACAACTGTATTAGTACAGAATAATATTAACTAGTTAACTATAATAGGGCCCAAAGATTAAATATATCTTATGGTATTGGAGCTGATCTAGAAACAGCTCATTTTAATTTATACCATTATCTATTTCCTTAAGACACATTTTATATTCTATGCTCTGCGGTAGGAACTTCAAATTTATTACATTAAGAAAAGTGGGATAAGTTGCAAAATGCCTGCCAAATTAGTGTAAATAATCTGAAGTGATGTTACGACGTAACACAGCTAGAATAACTTTCGGGAACAAGAAGAGGGGATATTTCACAGACAAAATTAACGAGCTCGAAACGTGGAAAGAAAAAGAATAGGCCTATTTTAAATTTTTGTAGTGTCACAAATGAATAAATTCTATCATCCTAAATATAATCTTAGTAAGAGACGAGAATAGTATGTGCATACAGTTTTATAGGAATATTTGATGTGAAAAGATCTGTCGGACGACCTAAGCGTAGAGGAGAGGACGATATTAATATAAAATATATCTTTACAAAAAACAGTTTGTGGACTTGATTCAACTGACTCAGGGAAGCGTCCAGTAATGGGCTCTGGTGTACATGGAAATTAACTTTCGGGTTCCATAAAATGCAGTGAATTTCTTGACCACTTGACCGGAAATCCTCTTCTCAAGAAATACTATGATGTTAAGGGGTTGACTGGTTGATTAATGACCCCCAAAGCCATTTTCCTAGCGTTATTAAGTAATTACATATTCGATAAATAATAACTTACACGATAATGATTAAGCCCTATAAGTTACAATGGACAACAAATTCTTAATTCTGTTATGTCGAATACTTGGACGAAATAATCTGTCTTTTTATTACTAAAACAAGTACGCAGATCATGGAAATGATAGGCTAAATTTTGTAACAGGCACAGCGTTTTTGTTATACCCAAATTCTGATTAGTATTGACAATATACTGACTTGCGTATCACATATTATATATTTTGTAAGATGGACGTTATTTAATTAAATTAGAATCAGTATTGAAACACCCTAAGCTCATACAGATGAAGAAAAATGTACTTGGACTCTACTAATTAATCATAACCTCACATTATAATTGACAAATATAATAGAAACACTCAGAAAAATACAGAGGTGAAAAAAATATGGTGTTCTGACGCTATATTAGTACACAGACATTTATTTTTGTCTTTTTTATTTATTTTTAAGTCCTGATCTGCAGTGTGCATGTCAGAATTAACGTAGTTTTCAACCATGAAACATGAGATTCTCACGAACTCTGGTAATAGCTGTGAGATTTAGTTCAGCCTTCTGAGATTTCAGGTTCTCACGACACCGAGTATGCAGATGGCCGTCTGCTGGGTTGTTGCACCGTGTTGTCTGAAAAATGTCTGCCATCATTTCATAGGTGACTGCTTCCTCTATCTTCAGGGCGATAAGTAACTGATGACATGGGCAGAAAGCACCTCACCTCAGAAACGTCAGTAAACTACACGTCGAAATAACCCGAAAGACAGCCCATCTGCAGTTTGTAAATCATTTTAGCGAAATTTTCTTTACTCTTGTTCTGTAGAAGAGAATAATATTGTTTTTTTGTGTTCCGTAGCTACGAACCGCGTCATCGAAGAGGCTACCTATTCGGGGATTATCCTGCCCAGTGCGGACTGGCACACGTTGAACTTTAACGGGAACACGGCACGCATCACGTATCGCGTCAGGGTCCAGTGCGACCTGCATTACTTCAACTCTACTTGCACCAAGTTCTGTCGCCCTCGAGATGACAAGTTTGGGCACTACAGGTGTGACAAGGCCGGCGACAAGGAGTGCATCTCGGGCTGGAGGGGAGTCAACTGCGAGATTGGTAAGTCAGACACGATCAGACGTCTCAAAAACTATTACCTAGGAACACACTTAACAATTTTCGTGTCTCATTCATGTCTATGGTGGCCTGGGTTGTGACGCCTTGTTGGTACCCCATTACGTCACAACCAGTAAGGCTACCATGGACATCTTCAATGCCGTGAGGAACTCGAATTCACGTGTCTCATTCATTTTCGTTTTTTGTCTAAGTGTATAAAAAGACGCAGATCAACAGAAACTGAAAATACATTCTGTGCAAAATTAATATTAAAATAAATGGCTAATTTCTTTCATGATCTTCTCTTATCACGCTCATATTTGTAAGGGCGATAGTGTATTTTCTTTGAAGAATGGGCAGAACTTTTAAATATTTACATACGCAGTGACGTTTAAGGGATGATACATGACATTTTCGGAGTCAGGTTTCGGCTCCGATCCACTGAATTAATGTTCTTCGGGTGTTAAATGACGGAACGTACAAAAGATTCGGTATAAGTATAGTCAGTCAAAACCTACTGACCGAAGTTAAGGTTCTATGACGACTTAAAAATCTGTGTCTACAATCTTCTCTGATGATCACTCGGATCAGCTCAGAGACCGTCGTCTGTATTTGCCTTCTTTATAAAGGAATGATGTCTCCGAAACATTTGACTTTGCTCTGAATTGACGCGGCTGAGTGCCCGAAAAGTTTTTATGACGGCATCTAAACTAAGGGTTTTCAGTCGTAGATCGGTTTGCATGTTTATAAACCCAGAAAATTTGTTTAATCTGTATGAAAACTTGTTAGAAATTATACTAATTTACTATTGCAAACAGGTTCACATATTACTCAACAGTTTTCTGAATAAAATCAGTTAGTAAGATATTTGACACATATTTTGCTTAAGTAACATTTTCAGTGCCGGATTTAATTTCTGTTGTTGCAATTCGCGTGCATCCTTCACATGTACATCGGTAAGATGCATCATAGTTCTTGATATGAGCTTCTTCGTTAAGCTTTAAAGTTGGACATGAGTCGCATCAGATGTTGCGCTTTGTAGTCTGTAGAAGTTTACCGACGTTTCATAAGTGCTTGTTATCTCGGTCATAAGGAAGCCTATGAAACATCGGTAAATTTCTGCCAGACTACACCATCCCAGAACACAGTCATCTTCATACACTTCGCCGTGAGAACCTTATGTCCAAATTTCTACGGTTTTAAAGCCAATGGTACTGCTAGATGCAGCATTAGCAGAGAATAGTTTATGATGACAGGCATCTATTTTTCATCATACAGTGACAAAATATTATAAGATATGTACAAAAAAACACCAGCGGTGCACGTGCTGAGAACCCGTTACCTAAATATTTATTTTAGTTCAGAAATACCTTTTTACCTTGTCTATAATTCTTAAAATGCCGAAGAGCTAGATGGAAAATTGTTAATATTAACCTAATCTTTCGTAAGGCGTAGTTCGGTAAAATGACCAACTGTGGAATTAACAGCCGACCGAGGGCCGATTCTGGACACGGACATAAAGATTTATCTCGTCTACATGACTCTGGGTACCTCCTGACCTTCTGCCCCATTGGTACCGGTCTACTTAATGCGGCCAGAACACTGAACAGAAGCTGAAGAGTTAGTGAAACACTGTCTTTACCTCCTGGCCACTCTTCCGTGGCACGACGCCTAAGCACATCTTTGCCTTAATCAGAAACCACGGAGCGTTTCCGAAACAATTAGAATAATCTTAATAGGACTTTCATACGGCCTACTATTCTATTCATGGTTCTGTTATTTGGGCCTATAAAGTAAAATAAAGCTACCTCGCTACACGCCATGGTGGCACTCGGGGGGGAGGCACATATAGCTCCTACTCGTTCTTGGCTTTGGCACTAGATGGGGAAGGGGCATGAGTGGTTGGCGTCATGCCACTGCCGCTCTTTTTTCTGGCGTAAAGAACCCTTGGTACCCATTCGAAGGGAGGCTGAGTGGACCTCAGAGCCCATCTGGACGCAGAGACTAAAAGAAAAAATATATGTACTTTGCCGAGGATTGAACCGCTGTCATCCAGTTACATAGGCCTATAATGTTTAATAATTAGACCTATGTTAATTTGAGGAAAACTCCACAGTTTTAATTGGCTACAGTTTGTGTTACCTATTTGTGAAGATTGAATTAAAATTCAATCTGATAAGGAGAAAGTTTAGCGATACTTTGTATACGGTCTCACAATTAACGGAAGTGAAACCATGGCGTCACTAAATGTAGTTATTAAAGAATAATTTAATTTAATTTTCTTCAATGATGATTATTTTCTTTGAACTCTCATCTCAAAATGTAAACATATACACTACTTAACAGGCAAGTAACAAAGTTAGTTAAAATATATGAACACAGCCATTTTTACCTTCGTCAACAAATAGTAAAATGCAAGTGACATTTCAGGTTCTCAAGGCAGCGAGTATGAAGATGGCTGTCTTCTGAGTTGTTGCGCCGTGTAGTCTGGTAGAAGTTTATCAGACAAATGTGTTTGCTGCCGCCATCATCACTCATCACCCTGATAATAGAGACAGCAGGCACCTGTGAAATGTCGGTAAACGTTTACCAGACTACTCGGTGCAACAACCCAGAAGACACTCTCAAGTAAAATGCAGCTCGAAGATGTGATCTGACCCAGCATTTCGCGTTAGTGCAATGCGCTTTGAAGTTCATTATGGCCAATTCTCTGTTTCAGCTGTATGCAAAACTGGCTGCCACCCGATCCATGGCAAGTGCGACCAACCTGGGGATTGCGAGTGAGTAATTCCAATATTCCACACTGAAACGGGCCGTGTGTAGTTCGCGACTGTAATCTTGTGAATTGCGGGGTGAGGAAGTGGGGTGAAGCACATATTGCATTCCTTGCAAGTCTCAAGATTACAGTCGCGAACAGTATAGTATATTATTTACTTTTTCTTCTTTACTTGTGGTTTATTTAAGAATTCTGACGGTAGCTCAGACTGTGTGGCGTCAGATGTTTGGATTAATAATGAGCTGAAAAGGACACAGAAGGGAAGTGATCGTGGCCGAATTTATAATACGTTATCAGAGCATCAGAACATTAATTGTAAGCCTTTAAATTGTTGTCACTTAATCCTAACTTTATACTGATATACACAGCATGCACACACAAAAATGTAATATAACCCGTCGAAATCGGCGGGAACGTAGATTTTTGTGTTGAACAGTAATACAATTTATAGCAGAATTATCTTTGTAAATAGCGCTGAAAGTACAAAATTAAAACATTCCCCTTTATCTCACTTGAATTTGAAAACATTTTCACAGCAACTGAAACAAGAGTCATGCCTCGTTTTCATTTCTTGCTACCAGAATCGCCACCGTCAGAACGTAATTTAAATTTCTTCAATATCACCCGAACGGATTACTCGCACAATCAAGATACACGGTGGTTAATGGCTATTAGATTATATTCTAGAAGCATTGAAAATGTCAAGTACAATTATCGTATTGGAGACCCTGTGTATGCTGGTACGAATTTCAACTTTACAATTTTGGGAAACACGTTCATTGAAATTTAAACAAGTTAATGCCGTGACTACAATTAACGTGCGAGACGACATCCGGCTCTACTCGAAGTAACCATTCCAGAGGTCTGTTCAATAAACGTTTCCTGAATTCCTGGATTTTTTTTTAAAAATTCAAATTATTATTGCTGCATTCGCTATAATACTCAATGTATAGACATGAAACACGGGACAGAAAATTAAATGACAAAGAATGAAGGATTCTTTTTTTGTTCAGTCTTCACTCACCCTCATTTGGTTAAGTGTAGAGAAATTAACCTGTTAAAAACAAGAATTTCACGTAATGAAGAAAAGTCTTAAAAAGTTAACACTTGAAGAAGCTGTCTCATTTATATGGCAGCTGTGTTATGCTTTGCTATCATATTTTATTAATCCATTTTAATTCACGGCATTGAACCGGATACTTTTTTTGTATGGCTTAATACTTAGGTTTAAGTAACCTCTAGAGACTAATTTATATTCCCATGCATTTTAATGTCTCTGGACCAGACCTGCTCGCTTTTAGAAGTGTATGACGAGAACCTTTATAGTTCCACGTACATTTTAATCAGAAGCAACATGTTACGTGGATGGCCACGCATAAAAAATAGATACAATATATGTGTAGTGTCCCAAGAAACTGATTTTCCTCGTATGAAAAGAAAATATATTCTAGTCATATATTTTTTTACTCCCGTCTTCATTCAAATACGAGTCTACATAACGTTAGCTTGGCATGCAGGCGGGACTATGGTCGTGCAGAGAGGTTATTGGCTAGATGAAGGCTTAGTGCTTGGAAACCATAGAGCGGATGTCATAGCTCGGACTTAAGCCGACAGGTTTAGGCATTTGTGGCCTGCGGCCCCACTGCTAGTCTTTGCAAGACAAATGACGACTAATGAATGTGATGACCATCGTTAGGATTGTGGAAAAAGTGCCTATGTCCTAAAGAGTTTCAAACAGTTGATCGTTGATTGTAAAGGTACGGGCTTTGGATAAACTGGCAATAACAAATTTAAATATTAATGTACTGTTTTTTTAACTAGAAAACGGACGTATTTCGGAGTACAGAGGTATTTGTAGAACCTACAGTAAACAACAATAGATTTTCCAGCGGCTGAACTAATTAGAAGAATGGTTATCTTTAATCAGCATCATCATCAAAAAATACATCAGAATTTTAATCAGTTCCGTTTCTGTTATTCTTTTGTCAGCTCAGTTCGTGGCCCAATTCTCAAAGCCTTGCAAGAATATTAGTAATGCCATCAGGTTATAAAATTTTAACCTGCTCTTTTTAGTTTTTATTTCTGAAAACTTTCCTTATTATATCGAAAATATTCTGAAATGTATGAGCCCTTTTTATTAGGTAAGTATCATGAGATATATCTCGACTTAGATGACTGAAGTTATATGAATCTATTCAGCAATTTTACCTTTCATAATTATCTCTGATCGTATCTGATGTTAAACTAGTGTTCATGTTCCAAACTGTACGCGAACGCTCTGTAACTTTAACTTGTGTTGGGCAAGGCCGTGGTCTAGGCACCACGGAGTTTTCCTCCGGGGGCTTCCCCGGTTTCTCCGTGGCATCCCAACCATTACTCCATTCACACACAGAAGAAGGCAATGGCAAACCACTTCTGGATCATCTGCCAAGAACGTATATGAACAGGTCCCAGTCCGAGAAAAGGATGGAAGGATCCTCTTCATATGGACGTGTCGTCAGACAGAACACTAAATAATAATAATAATAATAATAATAATAATCTGATGTTTATCACAGTAGATCATGATTTTATTTTCTGAGTAAGTCATGTTTTAGGCTGCTTTTATTTCTCACAGCGTTACATGAACTTTGTGAGGGGTATTCTGTCGAATGTCGTACATTAGCCAATAAAGAAAACACTTATTTCTGACTTAAATTGCCTTCGTTTCTAAATCATTTTCCGCTTATAAATACATAATTTGACCATAATCTCCCTCTTCTCATGTCCTACGGAGGTGGTTTGTTTTGTACAGGATTTATTGGGCAATTCTTCATAAAAATTGGAGCACAATCTTAAATTCTTCCCTGATACAAAATGAAGCTCGGGAAATCGGTGTTTATGAACTCCCTTCTACGTATGGAACATAATCACAATGCATTACATAACGCGAAGGACTATTCGTAAGACATTACAGTTGCTAATAAAGACCCATCTCTATTCTGAATTTTTCAAGTGTTATTTTCCTGTAGTTACCTTATAAAAGTTCTTTAATGCGAATCGAATAAATAAAATAAGTAAACCCTATTCCGTTCTTACCCTTAAAATCATCGTCCAATGTCCTCAGAACAGGATACCATTCCACGCTGGAATAATTGATTTTGGGAAGTTTACCGCCATAATCTTCAGGCAGGTACGATGGATCAATGTGTTCATGGAGCGACTCCATTTTCTTTCCGTGGAAGAACAACTGTGCGCATAAGAAATTACATTTTAAATTATAGAAGTTGTATTTCAAACCGTATCAGATCATTTATTTAGTTGACTTCTACATGCAGAAGATTGTAACATTGAGATTTTGCAGTTTGCTACTTCAAGATAACTAAATCTATTAGCGCTGGTCTTGTGCTGTGAAATACCTCCTCTTGTAGCTATGATTTATTCCTTCTTTACAGTTTCTGATAATTTATAATTAAATTTATTATTCCATTTTCATTTAATATTATACAACTATTTTCTTTTATGTTTATTGTACATTTTTATAATTCATAATTCTGTTATAAGCTAAATTTTCATTAACGTTAAGACATTTTCGTCTCTAAAATTATTCCTTCTTCTTTTTCTTTGTCTACACGGGATCTGTAATACCTTCTTCCCCTGAAATTTTAATTTACTTTACAGTTTATAACAAGTAAAAATGAAAAACAAGTTCCAAGTAGAACACAACTGCCTAAATTTTACTATTAATGAACACTTTTCTAGTATTTTGCTTTAACCGATTCTAGCCTGAATTTATATAAGTTAACCTTCTTCTGTTGGTGTATTTTCATAGTAATGTATAAATTTCTTTGCTTAAAAGACTTTCGTGTTAGCTTCAGTTTAAATATTCATACAAACTCTTTCGCTGATCTCCCCACATTCCAAATATATCCATATCACTAATTAGATTATGCAGTGTATAGAGTAGACAGGGTTAAAGTTAACTATAATTACTAGCTTGTCGATAATCTGTTTCTCAAATTAAATTTTCCTACACGAATAACAGTTTTATTACATAGTAATTTCTGATAGCCGCAATATTTCTGGAATCACAGAATTAGTAATGGTTTCTCTTCTAGTGTGTGTGGAACTGAAATTCAAAGTCAGAATTCATGAATTCACAAGAACTACAAGACATGATGTTGATATTAAAATCACCAGACGATCATAACCATTAAATGTAAAATTAGGTCTTGTTGTACAGCCTCCATGTCTGTGAAGTCGAGGAAGCCATGCGCGTCACTCATTGAGACAAAGCGGCTTTATCATCTAAGATAAACACATGTTTCTGTGCTATATATCACATTCTCATCACTTACCCTCTTCTTCAACTTTTCCTTAACGAAGGGTTTGAACATTTGCCATACCATGTTGAACAGGAATGGTTGATTAACAATGTGAACCTCCTTCAGTCTTAATGGCATTGCTTCCTGGAAAATATTGACACACATTCTTAGTTATTAACCATTTCAAGCCGAAGCTCGTATAAATAATATTTAAGAAGTCGGTCCGTACCGATAAGAAAACACAACAGTTCACCATTGCAAGAAACATCTTGCTGACACTGTTTAAAGAAATAATCGCTGTTTACAAAATGAAAATTTATTGATTATTGAAGAGGGTGGGACATATGGTTACCATTGGGCTTTAAAGGATTAAAAAATTATTTTCTAGCGAACCATTCTTTAAGTTTTTTTGTTCTGTCTCATTGTTCTGTTGTTTCTTATTGTTTTTGTTGTCTTATGTTTTGTTGTGTCTTATTGTAGGACCACTGCCACCGGGTAAAAACCCATTTGCAGTCAAATAAATAATAATAATACATACGATATTCGTAAGTAAATATTGATGAGGTGGAGTTTATTCGAATTGGAAACTGAGTTGTGTATATGGATTTATTCAGAAAACAGAACAATAATAATGGGACATAATATTAATTTCACTCGCAGTGACGGTTATACTAAATCAAACTGAACGGACCTATTTAGAGGCTGCGGTTTATTTGTATAATCGAGAACTAATCAAAATGGAGAAGTAATTAAATCCACATACAGTCTCCAATTTTGACGCTATATAGTCTCAGCTGCTGATAACGCTGTTAAATAAACTACAATTAAGTAATAAATAAACAGTCTTGAATTGTATTTTTATTTCATAATATTACATAGCAGTGTAATCAACATATTAAGCGGGAATGGAAAGATTGTAAAATTTAAAAGTGCTCTAATGATAGTATATTATAATTACCACAATTCTATTATTTTATTTAGAACAATATTTATTCCTTTAAACAAAACTGTGTTTGAAGAGATGACACTTCTTATCACGTTGATTTAGTTCATTCGTTGTTGTATTTAATTTATGACGGTACCCACTGAGGATAATCCAGAAACTTCTGATAGCATTCTGTTTTAATGAGATGATGTAGTGCAGTAATTTTTAAATCAATCGTCTTGGTGTTGAATTCATAGCGAACGATGAGCATTGTTGCTTAAGGGGAACACTCCGAAAATGATAGATTTTGTCAGGGCATTGTTCCTGGATAGAAATATAACGACATAGTAACGTGTTTCATACCTACACGTATAAAAAAGATGTGGCGACTTTCTTAAGTTTGTCAGATCATGAAAATGTTGACTTAGAAAACTTGATTCAGTACCAGACCGTTATTAGAATCGATGGATAGCGAATCCTTTATACATAGCCCGTTAAATTAAAAGGTTTACGAAGAAAACGGTTTTCTAATTTAGGCGAACTGCTCCATTGTTTCATGGAATTTTAATGTTTATGAAATCCGCTATAAATCTTTATCTGCCTGATACGATATAAATAAAAGAATCCCGAAAAGATACATACGCATTATAATACAAAATATTCAGCTTTTGTGTATAAATCTTTTTGGGGCAACCTGTATACGAAAAGAAATATATTTCAGAACAAAACAATTGATACCTGGTTGAATCAGAAGTGCCCATTATGTATCTCAGATGTACAGCAAGTCCCTCAGTAATATAACGAATGTGAGCCACTTAGTCAACGGAATTGTTTACTGACATAGAGATCAATTTAGCTACATGGGACCTATAGTATAAATACTGACTGATATTTCTATGATGATTTCCTGGTAAAATCTTCACGCAAGTAATATTTCCCTCGCAAAAGTCATTTGTTACTAACGATTCCCATATAACAAGACTCCACTTCGCACTTTTTACATTCACAGATTATAAGACAACGTATATTTCTTAAACTCTGGAACCTTAGCCCAGCACATAACGCATAAGGGTTAAGGGCTTTAATCAGCATAGTGTTTGGAATAAATGTTGCATTTTTATGGATCGGAACTGGGGTGGAATGAATCACGGCGAGTATTACCATGTTTTTAATGTCTCCAAGCACACTGAACCTTACTTTGTATCCGGGAAGTCGGGATATAATTCTCGGCCTGGAGGCTGGCTATTTCGTTTCTGTGGTTTTACTAAGCCCCTCTTCGCAGGAAATGGGATAATATCTGAAAGCAGGCCACGACCGCTTCCTTGCACATCGTTTCCAGATCCTCTTTCGCATCCAACAGCCATCCTGCCGTTTAACACTATGTGACCTATTCGTCTGATAAGCGTAATTTGATAAATTATGACACATACTTTACTTGTTCAATATTTTCTGTAGTCTTTACAGCCAGTTATAGCATCATATACAAATGCAGAACAACGTATAGTTCCCAAGGACAAACCTCAGACGTTAAGTGAATGAAGAAACCACGAATAGAACTGCTAACTTTATTTAACCCTCTGATGTCAACGGATCTCTTGAGGTATGAGGGAAGCCAGAAGGTCCTAGACCACCCAGCCACCGTCTCGACTAATTTAAATGTTTTTTTCCCCGAATGTTTATTTACCCCAGAGTTATGCAACAGGCATTCTTTCCCGTGTTTTGTTTGCAGATTGAATCTAATTCTAAATGCATGCTTATTCTTAGAGTCCACGTCAGAAAACTTGGCGTCTGCACTACACAGCTGAGACCTTGGGTCGGTTAATTACGGCTTCGTTTATGCGACTATACTGCAAAGCATGTATCACCGGTTAAAAACATTGTACGCGCAGTGTTCGTTCCATTGTCACATCACACGCTGTTCATACTATGCGTGCAACAAAAATGTTATATTTGACAGTAGTAGTGAGAGGAGCATGCGCGGAGTGTACCATGCTAATCTTCCTTACATTCCCACTTCTGAAAGACGCAAAGTTAAATGGCGCCGAGACTAGTATACAGCGAGTTATCTACAGTTGTAAACAACTGGGTGAGAAGCATTTTCGCGCTGCATATAGTAAATATTGTGATTAAATGAGGTTCATTATCATTAATGAAATCTACATTATTTTGTAATGTGTAATAATTTCACGCTATATTAACCCATAGGTCTGGAAAAAATATACATAACAATTATCCTTTTCTCTGTATAATTCACCGCTTCATTTAAAGTGAGTTTGTTTTCAAATTGAATGCAAACTACTTAAAACTGAGATCTCCAAAATCTACCTTTTATTAAATTGATTCTCAGGACAACATTTACTAACGAGTGTATATTAAGAAGTATCTGGTCTGGTCTGTAATTAAAATAACATTTTAGTGAAACACTGCCACAAGGCTGGCGAGAGAAACCAGTACATTGTATTCAAGTCAAGCGTAAACGTTTCTGACGATAGTCTGACTCACTGTAGTCAAATTATTCATTAGGACTTATCCACAATCAGCGACTTATATGACGGGACGCGGATTCACAAAGACTTAGGTAATGAACCTATAACGTTTGAACACTATCGGTAAATGAACATTGATTTTATTGCTAAAGTCTAGGGTCTCTAGAGGGAGATCGCAAAATGACGATCTTGCACCGGAGATGGCTATGCCAGCTTGTCCCTAACGTTACCCTGTAACATTTTATTGAAAGTACAGAATTATTTCCAGATCTAAGCAAGATTTGAGGTTTTCACGGCGGTGAGTTTGAAGATGGCCGTCTTGTGCGTTATAGCGCCGTGTAATGTGGTAGAAGTTACGAACGTTTCGGAGGTATTTGCCGCCTCCATCATCAGGACGATGAGTGGAGGCATCAAGTACCTCTGAAACGTTGGTGAACTTTTATCACATTAGACGGCGCTATAACGCAGAAGACGGCCATCTTCAAACTCACCGCCGTGAAAACCTCAAATCTTGCTTAGGTCATTCATAATTCGAGCTTCCGGTTTTAATTGCGGCTTGACCATGTAAAACACGTGGCAGACAACAGATTTCTTCGAATTGTTCGTAATTTATTCTGCTGGCCACTTAATTCATCACCAGAGTATTCATCAACTTTGGCGATCAGCAGTCCGTGAATAAATGAATATATCATTCACTCAATCACCCAGTCGCCCACTAGCATTTGCCACTTTTCTCCATCAGATGAAGTCACGAAGGTAAATAAGAATTAAATAAAAGCAGAGTTAACTCTGTAATGGAGAAGTAAAATAACTTTAACAGAACAGGTAAACCAAAACGTATTAAAATGTCACACGTCATAATGAAACATGGGTGAAAGAGATGACGTCAGCAGCTGAAAAGCTAATGAGGAGAACTAAGAACCTTTCTTATATTTCATATATGTTGCTGAAATTAATAGCGATTTACTTTAAGGCAATTAGCTAGAACGTAATCCTCAAAAACGACTTCCCACAACTTGAATTTTCATGTACAAAATATAATGTACCTTTTCTCAGAATCTACAATCTGAACCCATAAAACGTAAATACTGTATATTAAAATGTGAATAATTTAAAAATAAAAGGAAAATCTTATTTAAAAACGTCCCTAATATTTTAAATACCTTTTTAGTGCATTGTACATATGCATATATAGGTTAATATAAAAACACAAAGTCAATCTAAATTAATGTACTGAAAATGTCACATGAAAAATTCTATTTTAATAGTTATTTAACTTATGACTGTATTATATTGCTCTTTGCCACCTACAGTCAACAAAATACAGTGGACCACTCACAAAAATTTCATACGAAACTTAACACAGTTTTTAAAACATTTAGTTGCATAGTTTAGTCTGGTAGAAATTTACTGACGTTTCAGATAATCGCTCTGATGATGAAGGCAGTAAGCACCTCTGAAACGTCTGTCAATTTCTACCAGACTACACGAAGCCAGATCCCAGAAGACAGTCTTTTCATTTCACCGCCGCGAGAACCTGAAATCTCACTCGTGACGAATTACTCATTGTTTTGGCTGTGGATCAGGGAAGTAAGACTGAACGCGATTTGTTTCCAAGCATTCTAGTGGCCAGGTAGGAAATTAAGATGCAGCTCAAACAGTGACTGTTGAGCGACCGCGGAATGCGTGTTCCCATGTCACTGACTGCCTCCCTGGCTGCTTTTTGAATTCAATACAACACTTGCATCCAAACAACACGAAATCCTTGC